CATTTAAGGTTGACTCATCGCAAATCGTCCTCATATCATATAAGTACATAATAAATGCACTCACCTGATATGCCTCACTATTATGCCTTACTGTAGTCCGATTATTCTAGAATTTTTTCCTTGCCTTACTGTAGTCCGACTATTTTGGAACTTTTTCCTTGTCTTTTTATTTGCTTGTCTCACGAATTTGATTACGATCTACACAAGCAACCATATTCACACATACAAATATAAAACAAAATGTTAGTATCCTTACTAACATTTAAACAAAATAAAAATACTCAAAAGTACTATTATTTTTTAATTCTTTTAAAATTTATCTTAACTTTTCTTTTTTTATTCATAATGGACCCTTGTCATAAAATCTTCAATTCAAGTTCAATTAAGCCCAATAAAATTCCATCATTTGATTTCCAGCTCAATACCTCAACAATACCATAATTACCACTTAAGCCACTAACTTTCTCAATATTCACCATTTTATACTTAAACTTTGCCAACTTTTCAAAATGACTTAATTTCACATTCTAAATTCAATTTCAGCCGTCAAAATGTAATTTCCAGTAATGTACATCAATTATTGAGTAACTAAACAATCAGTCCATAACTTTTCAATTTTTTTGAATAGGTCCCTTAACTTTTGAAAAATTACAAAATGACCTAAAATTTTTTTTAAGTCTTTTAGAACCTTACAAATATCATTTATAATCCATGAGAATTTTTCCACAATTTTTCCCAACTTTTTTCCTCATGTTCGAATGCTTTAGGGTTATATTTATCATGATTTTCACTTGATTCAAGCATAAAACCAACCTCTATTCAACATTTCAAAACCTCTAGAATCAAGACCCTAACTTAATTTCATCAAAATACATCTTTCCCCTAAAACTAGGGTTTGGTCGAATTCAACATGTGCTTATGTAGCCATGTACAAATGATTTTAATCATCAATCATGCTTGTATATGATTCTACTACCTCAAAAACATCAAAATCCTTCATTAATTCCATAAATCTTAATGAGAACACAAACCCTAAAATTTGGTATCTTTGAACACAAGCAAGATTAGCATGCAATATTGGTACCAAATGATAGCATTTTTCGCGTTGAACAATTTTATATTTCACGACACGATCCAAAGTCCAAAAGAAATTGCTCAAAAATGAAAAATAAAATTTCTCTTACCTTGGTCATGGGGAACACAAAATGGAGATGAAAAATGGCCAAAGTTTCATGAAATTTTTTCATGTTAATTTAACCGTTATTTAAGCTTAAATGAATAAAATATTCATTTAATGAGAAATGTCCATTTTGCCATTAATGAAATTTGACCATTACCATCCAACCAAGCCACATAAACCTTATCATTTTTCAAAATTTAAATTTGAACAAATTATTTTACCCTTTTCCAATTTTACCAAGCAACTTTCAAAAAACTGCAATTTTGCCACTTTAATCTAACGGTCCAAATTAAACATGGAAATAAATCTTCAAATCTAATGATCCATATTATTTTCCATCATTTTAACATATGGAAATAATATTTTTAACCATAATTTATCATCCTTCAATTTTTCTCGAAATTTCTATTCGACCCAATATACTGATTTCTTACTGGACTTTAATCATTTCTAGTTTTCAACATAAATTCCGAATCAAGAATCTGATTTCAATAAAACCCCACTATCAAGAGTAAACCAGGAATGTAAATATTTTTGGGAAAAGAACCACTTAGGTCCTTAAACTTTTCCCAATTTATACTTTAGTCACTAAACTTTCAAAACTTATATTTTGGTCACTAACCAAAATTTGGGGTATTACAGATTTACTTCGAGAATCACTAGAGGACACCCCCGGGAAAATGCGAAGGACACACTATTAACATCTAATAAATGAACATTGCCTTATTAAAAAAATCAAAGTGCAGTAAAGCAATCGATTATAGAACCTAATTATTCTAAAATAATTAACGACTTCTCTCTATCTTAAAGTGTTACTTATAAAAGTTAAAGGACCTAGGGGATAAACCTAAAAGTTCAGGTTGTAATATTAATCCTAATTAAATTTAAATAATTATGTAATCCGAATAAGTAAATTAAAACCTCGAGCAAAAGCAAGGATCAAATTAAGAATTCACCTAACTTAAGGACTAAATATGAAATTAGATGTAAGATAGAGGCTCAAATATTAATCCTAATTAATTTTAATCAATTATGGTTCAAATCTAAATTAAAAAAAACTCTAGAGACTAAATCGAAATAATCTAAAAATACATAATCAAAATTAAAACATTAAGTAAAGGACTAAAATGAAAGGAATCAAAATATAAAGCTTGAATTAAAATAATACAAAAAATTTAAAGCTAAAATATAAAGGACTAAAATTAAAAAATACATATAATTAAAGGGCTAAAATATAAATAATAGAAAATAAATCAATCTAATAAAATTAAAAGTTTGGGGTTAATTCTTAATTATTACGTGGACCACAAATCACACGAATCATACCCTAAGACTGGTCATCGTGAGGTCGTAAATGAGTTGAATATATTTTTATAAGTTAGTGATTACTAAATTAGTAAGTTGGCAGTTAAAAGTTAGAATTTTACTTGGATCATAATAATGTAGATCATACCCTAGGATGAGTCACCACAAGATCGTATTAACATTCAAATATTTAAAAGCAAATAAAAAAAATAAGAGTTACCAACAACTAGTTGGTCTAGTAGGATGAGACACTTAGGTCCCTTAAGCAAGGTCAGAGTTTGAATCCTAGCGTTTGCGAATAGAGCAAACTGGGTTGGGAGGGTCACTATTACCTCTGCAATACCCGATCTAAATTAATCGACCAATAAATCGGATATCAATGATTAATTAAAAAAAAATGTTAGTGACCACAAAAAAAGTAAAGTACAATACCGAATTAAAATTAAGAAAAGCAAAATTAATAGTAACCAAATTAAAGAAAGAGAAAATTAGAATTAATAGAGACCAAATTAAAGAAAGGGAAAATTAGAATTAATAGTGACCAAATTAAAGAAAGGGAAAATCAGAATACATATTCGAAAATAAAAAAGACACAGTGACTAAAACGCTAATTAAGTAAAACAGTGAGCTAACATCAGAATAAAAGAACAAGAGCATTCAGTAACTAAACTAAATGAAAGCAAAATAGCGAGCCAAATTTAAATAAATAAAAAAAGGGAAACAAGGGATCAAAATGTAAATTAACTGCAAAGTTTAGGGGACTTAGATGGTGATTAACCCAGTACACCTTCACACGTAGCTTATATTAAATTAAATAAAACCCAAAATCAAAATCAAAATCAAAACCAAAACCAAAACCAAAACCAAAACCAAAACCAAAACCAAAACTAAACCCCCAGCCCCCTTTCGCTCCTCACTTCTCACCAATGTGCGGCCGCCACACCCAAAGAAAACCAAGACTCGACGACGCACCGGCCAGCTACCATACATTGGTGGCTCTCCTCTCTCCAACCGCCACCTTAGGCAGCCGAATAACACCCAAACGGCCTCCACAAGAAGCCGAATCACTTCCTTCTCTACTCTATCACACAACCGGCGTCCCCTCACAAACCCAAGGACCACGCTGGCCACCACACCTGGTGGCCGTTCACCGCCCCGGTCGACACAGGTGACGTAACACCCGGCGAGGCCAAACCCTCATCCCTCTATATCTTAACTTTCTTCCTTTCTCCTTGACCGAAACCACCAAACTTAAAGGCCAAATCCGGCCACCATAAATCGATGGCCACTCACCCTCTCCGGTCACCAACGACCCCCAAAGCCTCCTGTTTCCTAATCTAAACCCTAAAATGAAAACCCAAAGGAAGAAACAAAAATGGCTCCTAACCACCTAGAGATTCTCGGCTGTTTTTTTGCTTCCCCTCCCCGACCGCTCGTCTCAAAACCCGATGACCCCCAGCTCCGACGACCGGCGCTCAAACGACCGATGAAGGTAAACCCTCTACTTCCTCAATTTTCCGTTTCGAAAATAAAAAAGGTTGCATGAAAATCAAAAAGGAAAAGAAAATACCTTTTAGAAAAAATCTCGGTTGCTTGGTGGTTTTTTGAATGAAAAAGAGATTACAATTTTTAGAATATGGAGAAAGCTCCAATCGGGGAAGAAGAGTTACAAAATTTTTGTATCTTGCTTGTGTTCTCTGTAAAAAAAAGACGAGAGGGAGCCCCCTTTACGACTTTTTCTTGGGGTTCTTTATACCACCCGTGCTGTTACAAGACCAAAAGGTTCTTTTTTTTGTTTTACAAATGTTTTCATATATCTTGCTTTGTTTGCATGTCTCCTTGTTGATGAGGACTGCTGGAGGGCCACTATGGAGGCCACGGTTGAAGCTGACGAGAAAGGGGGCTGCTAGCGTGGAATGGGCTAACGGGTTGCTGAAATATGGGGCCATAGCTGGATTTGTTGGGCTTATTGAATTGTTGGGCTGATGTAATGTTTTTGAGTGGGAATGGTTTAGGATGATGGGTTGTACTTGAACAATGGAATTTTGGACTAATAATTTTTTTAATTTAGGTTTTAATAATTTGGGCTTTTACATTCCCATAATAAACACATGGCTACCTAAACCCAAATATACCCAATCAAGCTAAAATCCATCATTCATGGCTAAAATTTTCCAAAACTCCCATCAATCGAATGTAGAAATTCCATGAACTAATTTATACTTTCACCTGAATTAATTCAACACCACACCTGAACATCTTCAAATTGATCATCGATCCCTTTCAATTCGATTCGAAATGTTTGGACAAAATTAGTTATTACACTATTGAAATTTGGAAGTCATTTAGAAGAAAAAAAACACTATTGAAATTTGTGATTTGCGTCTGCTCTTTATCTTCATTTTCTAAGTTTTTATTTTCCAGAAAACTTATTATATAATTGATATTAGATGAATTTCAAATTTTCATTTTTTTAATATTGATAGATCATTTAGACAAATACGGGAAAGAATTTCAAAATGATATTCGATTTATCTTTTAAATCGATAATATAAAATTTCCTTGTCACATGATACATGGGAAAAAAAAGGGGAAAATCTTATGCATCTCATACATTTTCCTTTGTACAAGTTCCAGAAAAAAATAAAACATGCCGATTTTCGAACTATACACGAAAAAATGGTTTTTTTTCTTTGAAATTCTCAATACCTACGTACTTACGTATGTACATATATACGTACGTACATATGAATATACATACATACATACATATATACATACATACGTACGTATGTACATACGTACGTAGGTTCAAGGACTTACTCCCATGGTAATCTCCAACCAACATCCAATCACCATCTTTATCTTCATAAGTAGGCATAAATTCTGATCCATTGTATCCTTCCCTTTCTGAATATTTTCCAACTTTGAACTTGAACATGCCCTCCATAGCCTTAAGTAATTCTGGGTATCCCTTGTACATCTTCAAATCTATCTTCCTAAGATAAGGAGCTCCATCCATGCTAACTTTGACGTACATCCCACATGTTTCCGCCTGGGTTTTCTTCGTTTGGAGGCTGTTTTTCCGGTAAGATAGGATTGGCGGCCACCCGACGACTTGTGCCCTGCAATATTACATGCATATATCATCAGTAAAACCATTAATCAATGAAAACAACACTATTGAAGATAATAACTTTTCCATTTGCTTAGTTGTTGGGTGGAGCTGTTTCTTGATCACTCTTTCTAGCAGCTTCAACACTAGACTCTTCATTCATATCAGGTAAGGCTCTTTTGTTACTGATCTTAAGGGTTGTGGAAGCTTGCTTCTTCGACTACTCCGACGTGCCTGGCAGGCCTAATCGGAGCTCGTTTGCATCAAGGTTAAGATCTTTCTCAAATGTCATGCTTTCAAATATCGGATTTTATTGAACTCTTGAAATATTGTTATGAGTTGTGCTATATATAATTGAAGAAAGGCTTAGATGATGATGAGGAACATATGCATGTGTTGGGAAATTTCTATGTTACTTTACAGAAAGGGAATATGTGGCGATAAAGGCGTGTTAAGTGCATGAATTTGGACATAGGGCAGCTAAGATGTTTGTCACATGAGCAACGCAATTTAGGCACTTGTCTTAAAAAAAGTGGGACAAGGTTGGGACAAGAGGTTAGCCTACCATATAAATATTGAAATCAGAGAAAGATCAGACGGTGTCAGATGATTGATCAATTTCCTAGGGAATAAATCTAGAGCATTGGATGTAATGACTAAATTTAAGGGACTTGGGTTGAGTCCCACATGGGGTTGTTGTTGATGGGTAAGACATGGTCTAATTTAGGGCTTTAAATTGATACAAAAGTATGGGTAACCTTACATTTGGCCATGGTGACCTTATGGAACCAACTAATCTGATACACAACCATGTATTATTAATGCGTAGGTGGTAGAGATGGGGCATTGCACCGACAAGACAAGCGATCTCAATCGTTGGTTAAAATTTGTTGTTGCTTTCATGCACGCACACGAGTGTGTCAACTTTTGACTTTGAATGGTCGGCGTTAAATTACGAAGTTATTTTCTCTTCATCTTTGAGCTTTTAAGTTAACCCTTTTGGAAGGGCCACAGGCACACAGTTGATTACATTAATTACGAGTCTTTTCTCTTCTATTCTGGATGGGGTTGGTCTGGTCTCTCCTCCTATGGTAGCCAGCTAATCAAGAACTCCACTCCTTTCCTATCAACCCCATATCACTTTGTTATCTAACCAATGGATTATTTTATTATTTTTGTTAGTATTCAAACTAAATTAGTTCATTTAATATTAGAGTGACTAGTTTGAATCAGTTCATATAACGGTGTTAATGATAATATTTAGGTTGTGTGGATTGTTGGCGATTCATTCCTTTTGGTTTGGGTGGAGAGTCATAGTCAGTGATGATACGATAGTTGGTCGATAATGTTTGTGATAAGAGATGAAGGAGAATCTTGAGAGAGAGAGTCTAAGCGAAGAAGAAGAAACCCTCTTTCTACATGAAGGTTTATATACTGACCTTTAGTGATAGTGTCACGTGTAAGACTATTATAACTACTAATAGGTTGATAGGTTAAATAGATTTATTGGTCAGATAATGAACTACAAATCATGCGGGCCTGTCGTTGTTCATGTTAATAAGTTGTAGCAAGTTGAGGGATATAGGGTTCTAGAGGAGATATACATGAGGTATAATAATTGTCCCTCATGATTGAGAGAATGCTATAAAGTGGCTTGACTTAAGACTCCTATATGAAAGCATTTATTGTGCTTATGGAGCCGCTTATCGGGAGTCTGTGTGATAACATATTTCAAGCAACTGGACGCTTGTATATTTACATATATAACTGAGGATTCTCGGCTTTTTAATGAGATATTGGGAAACTGGTGTAAAGTTATCTCTAGGTTAAGCATGTTGCAAGGGAACTCGATATTGTTAAAGAGGTAATAAAGAAAACAATAGTGCCTCAATTCTCAATATAAGAAATGGATAAATTCCCATAAACACCATGAAATCATCTTGAATCTTTTTGGTCGATCATCAAAAAAGGTGGCAAAAAATTCCCTTTAGTTAGAGAGGTACGGAGACAACACAACGCTCTCGACAAATGAGAAGGCAACTCCTTAACGAAATCTATCGAACGGGTAGAGGATTAAGCAGACCAATTATAAATTAGGCGGAGTTATATCAATGCTTAAATATCTATCATGTGGAGGATACTTGTCGCTAAGTTGGGATATTATTTTGTTGTAAGGAATTAGGATTCATAGACGTATTGCGGACCTCAATGTCTTTATATATTTTTCACAATCTATAGTTTGAACACGTCACTAATGAACACTTTAAATTTGGTGGAGTTATCTCAAAGGCATCTTTAGATCAATTTGTATTTTCTTGCTAATGTCTTTCACTGCTTTTAGAAATTACTTTTGTGTTTTTAATTAAACAAACGAAGTTGTCTCCAGGCCCGTATAGATTCCCTACGGATGATGCTTAACGCTTTGATAAGATTGTTTTCACATTCTTTAGAGGTCAATGGAAAGTTTCTTCAATCTTAGTAGAGACATCTCTATCCCATTTAGCCGGATGATAGAGAGGTAGAGAAGGTATCTCCACGCTTTCACCTAAATTGACATATGGATGGAGGTAGGCATCTTAATGTTTAAATATGTTTTGCAGAGGACCCTTACTTCTTAAATTGAACAGAGTCGTTTCAACACCTATACATCCACAAAGGACTCTCGACACTATTTTGGGATAAATGGATAATGTTATCTCTAAATTTAAACATGTTGCGCAGGATCTTGTTATTTAAGTTTGTGTAAGCTTGTAATTTAGCTGCATTGTTATCTTAATTTTTAAGAAAGTTAAGAATGCGATTTTTAGGCTGAATAGAGTTGTCTCTGTGCTTATGTTTGTATCAGCAGAAGATTCTCAATGCTTTTATTCACCTAGGTCCGTAGTTTGGACACTTTGTTTGTCTTAATATTTGTAAAAATCATATAGGCAAATTTCAGACTAGGCAGAATTATTTCTACATCAACATATCGTGCAGAGAATTCACAATGCCTTTATGGTATCTTATTTTATTTGAGCAGAGTTTACCGTCTTTCCTCGTGTTTTTTTTTTTGGAGGATGCACAACACTTCAAGGTTGTTTAAATAGACTCGATGGGGTTATGTCCAATCTCATATGTACTCCAAACGAAGGATTCTCAATGCTTTTGAGATGTTACGATCAATTTGGGCAAAGTTTTCTCCGATTCTGTATATATGTTGTTGAATCTTCAACGAGAATCATTTCTGCATTCTATAAAGGGCGAGGATAAGCTTTGTCAACCTTAGCGTTGGTAACTTTATCCTATCTGGCCAAAAAAAATATTATAATATTTTGTTTGCATGAGAGGTATCTCCACATCTTCGGCCAATGAAAAAGGCAACTTAATACCCTCGAATGAGTCTGGTTAATAGATGGAGACTTCTTTGCCATTGGTAATAAAGAGGCTTCTCTACGCTTTATGAAGTGACAACATAGTAATTTTTATTGTCAAGACAGAAGCATAACTCTTTTGGTCAGTGTCAAGGTGATAATAAAAGAGATGAGAATTTTCATATTTTTGGTTGATAGAAAAAGGTAACTCAAAGCCCTCAAGGGAATCCGATTGACAGGTTGAGGCTTCATTGTCATGGTAGGAGCGATGGGGAGATGTTTTGTAGGAATTATAGAGTTATGATTTGATATCATTCTTTTAGTTAAGGGATTCTGTACATATATTTATACAATCCCTTATTTTAAAGGATCACATCCTAGGATTAGTATCTTTCCTTTCTTAATTGTTTCCTACTTTAGAGAGATAATTTGTATATAAAGATGTAACCTGTCCTATTGAAAATAATATGAAAATTCAGAGAATTACTCTGATTTCTACATGATATTAGATTAGGGTACGGTTTCTTTCCAACCTAGACGATGTCCACAACTTCTTCTCCTACTCCGGAGATCACTTCGAATCCAAAATTTTTTTCTGGTTCTGCTACTCAATCAAAAGGTAATCTGGTCATGAAAGAACCAGAAGGTAAACCTCATGCTACAGTTTTTTTCTCCTCCCAGTTGACCCCTAATTGGATCCTCGATTCTGGTGATACGGATCATATGACTGGTAATAAGGATTTGTTTTGCAATTTTTTCCAAACTTTGGTAAAGCTTTAAAAACGGCTGATGGTTCCTTATGCAAAATAGAAGGACATGGCATTGTTATTCTCAATGACCATATTGTACTTAAAAATATCCTATTCGTACCAAATTTGGCTTGCAATCTCGTTTCTGTTAGTAAACTTTCCACCGACTTGCACTGCTCAACAATTTTTAATGGTATTGATTGTACTTTGCAGGCACTGAACTCGAAGAAAATGATTGGTAAAGCCAGCTTACAAAATGGTCTCTATATTCTTCCTGCCTCTACTAAAACCGAAATCTCGAAATCTTTCACCTCTTTAGAAAAAGTTGATAATGTTATGTTATGGCACTATCGTTTAGGCCATCCTAGTTTCCACTATCTTGCAAAAGTTTTTCCTGCTTTATTCATTCATAAAAGGCTAAATTCTTTTTCTTGCAAAGTTTTCTCTCTTGCCAAACATACTAAATCAACTTATTCTCCTTCTATATATAAGCCTTCTCACCCTTTTGATTTGATCCACATTGATATTTGGGGCCCTTCTCGGGTGAAGAACGCTGATAATTGTAAGTGGTTTATCACTTTCATTAATGATCACCGTAAGATAACTTGGACTTATTTGCTGAAAGATAAATCTGAAACTACTGGTGTTTTTACCCAATTTTATAACATGGTTCTTGTCAGCTCGGTATGAGTACTATAAATAAGTGCGGATATATGTGCAAGTATACACAATCGAACTAGTAATACAATGATAAGTTGAGTATCGTCTCCACAGGGAATTGGGGAAATCAAATAGGTTTGTCAAGGCACTTTACTTTGTCACCTAAGTAAAGTTAGCGATGGTATATACAAATGATAATGTTGTGGCAAAATGGAATGATTGATGTGGAAATGAAATGATGGCAGTGTGGTAGCAATAGGATATGTTGAGGCAAATTAAATTTGTGATGTGTGCAAACAAATGGAAATGAAAAGGAAAAATAAAATGTAAATACATGATTTAATTTATAGGACTTTAGCTTTCTCACACGACAAGCAGTTATGGGAATGAGTGATAGGAGTCACTAGGAAAATCTAAACCTATTTCTCTAAATGGTATTTCTTCTATGCCTAGCTTGCCTGACAGAGTCTACTGAGGTGCCCTATGCTATCTCTAGTAAGGGACTCGACAGATTAAAGATGCCCTGGCAAATCTGATTGGCGTAAACCCCTGTACTGATCCTATTGGTACAGATAACAGAATA